TGTCAGGCTCTGTGCTGGCAGCTGGGAGCCTGGAGCCTGCTTCAGATTCTATGACTCCTTCTCTATCTGTCCCTCCCCATCTTGCACTCTGTTATCACTCTCTCAAAAATAAACATTAAAAAATTGTTTTTAACCTTTTTGTGAAACACATGTGGGACGGAAACATTGCCAGATGAATGTGTTAAGTATTTGTGTGACATGTTAAAACCTCAGAGTTTTATCATTCCCTGATGATTTTTGTTCTCAAATAGGATAAGCTAAAAGCAAAGGATTACCATATCGACATGTGCCTTAACCACTGGGTTTGTACAGGAAATGATGGCCTCACTGGACTTGGGTCAACAGGCATCAGCAGGGCTAATGGCAATGCAGGTGAAACCATGACCAGGGAGGTCTTCCCAGGACTGTAAGACTTAGAAATGAATTTGTTTTACTTTTGGGTCATTTTAGAATCATTTTAGACTTCATGGCTTCTGAACTAGAAGGACAAAGATAATGGACTTTCAGTAATTATTCCTTTTTTTTAAAATGTTTTATTTATTTTTGAGAGAGAGATAGAGACAGTGTGAGCAGGGGAGGGTCAGAGAGAGAGGGAGACACAGAATCCCAAGACAGACTCCAGGCTCTGAGCTGGCTGTCAGCACAGAGCCCAACACGGGGCTCGAACACACAAACCGTGAGATCATGACCTGAGCTGAAGCCAGACACTCAAACGACTAAATCACCCAGGCACCCCAGTAATTATTCAATTTTAACTTCTTGGGTAGTTTTTCTCCAAAGAATTCTAAAAGCTTGGGAGTCCAATATTCAAACTATTAGTGACCAAATAATGGCCATGGCCACACGCACATACAGCTGGTCTGCACTTGGCCGTAATAATAGTGTTAAAGAAGAATTTCAGAAAATCTCAAGATTATATTTTTCTGTGTTCTCCCATTCACTACTATTCTCTACTAATTGTATGGAATTTTATCCAACACATCAATAGGTGTCCATGACCATTCTCTAGGGAGATATAACAATTTCTCTTTCCCTTCATCGGATTCAGATGACAGCGAAAGGAACAGAATGTAACATCAATTCCAAGATATTTGGCCATAAAAAGGAAGTGGACACACATGGTACCCCTTAAGTGGAGAGCGGTGCTGGCTGGCATAGTCTGTAGAGCATGCAACTCTTGATCTCAGGGTCACGAGACCAAAGGGTTGTGAGTTCAATCCCCATGTTGGCTGTAGAGATTACTTAAAACAAAAAAAAAAAAAACTAAATGGAGAATAATCTATCAAAAAGATATTTTATTAGTTTTTATTAGTTATGTCACAAACGTGGACTAGAATGAGTACCTCTGCCTAGTGTTTGTATGCACCTAATTACCAGACAGGTTATTCACCACTGAAAGGAATCGGGACTTTGTGTTGTGTTAGGAGAAGAAAACTCTAAGAGAGGCCTGTGTTAAGGCAGCGGCCTGAGCCTGCCTGTCCTCAGAAATGCCTGTTGCAAGGTTTATGCCCCTATGTTGACCGGAAATTCCCCCTAAATGTGAGGAGGCTTCACCAGGCCTCACTGTTTGTGCAGAACATTTGGTTTCCTTCTGGGAGTCTAGAATTCTGGAATATGCTGGGCAGAGGATGCCTCCGCAACCAGCTCGCAGTGAAACCCTTGGATGCTAAGTCTCTAGTGAGATTTTCTGGAGGACGACATACTGCACATGTTGTCACAACTCGGTGCTGGAGGAACCACATGTGTCCTGTGAGCCTCTGCTGAGAGAGGACTCTGGAAGGTTGCCCCGGCTCCCTCCAGACTTTGCCCTGTGCGCCTTTTATCTTTGCTGGCTTTGCTCCGTGTGCTTTCGCTGTAACAAACCTCAGCCCGAAGCATGGTGTTATGCTGAATCCTGCATGTCCTCCTAGTGAAGGCCCAAACCCGGGGGTGGCCTCGGAGACCCCCAGAACAGACCGGAGCATGTGTTTTAAGAAAACAAGTACTGAGGCAGTACTGGAAAGACACAGGACTAGGAAGAGAGGACGTTTAAATGTCCTCTCACTTGCCAAGTTAACAATTTCAGCAGCCAAAAGAAAATTGGCTTAAATCAACAAAAAGTCATGAATATATGATTAAACCTATAAGGGGGCAAACATAAAGGGTTCTAAAGGAGAGACGCAGCTGGAGGGGGGGGGTTTAAAAATGCTACATATTGATCAGTCCAAATAATACAAATCCTATCCTCGAATTCTAGTAAAAAGCTAGGTTGATAATGATAATCATCAATGTAAGCTAAAACTGTACGGAATCAAACAGAGCGTTAAAGAAATTCAATGTTTATACTGTTTGTTAATTTCCCATAAACATGCATTAATATATTTGGCTGACCATCCACAAATGGAGCCCTAAAAACCATGGTAAAAATAAACTGACAAAATGGCAGCTAAATGAAACTTTCATAGATCGTTACAAAACCAAATTATTTATACCTTTTCCATTCATCCCCAAAAAGAAAATGACACAGTGATTTATACTAGTTGATAGCTAATAACATAAACTAATAATAAACATAAACTGATTTCTGTAATCAAGTCACCCATCTTTGTGATGGTTTTAGATTCATTACTTAGATCCATGATATAAAGGTTAATCAAATTCAACCTGTTAGATTGCTTAATACAATCACCACCAGAGACTTTAAAATAATATAATGTGTGCAGATATATACACATTCTTCAAAACTCAGAGAATGTTGGGGTACATGGGTAGTTCAGTCAGTTAAGCGTCCAACTCTTGATTTCAGATCAGGTCATGATCTCCATATGTGAGATCAAGCCCCATACTGGGTGGGCTCAGTGTTGACAGTGTACAGCCTGCTTGGGATTCTCTGTCCCTCCCTCTCTGCCCCTCTGCCTGTTTGCACACTCTCTCAAAACAAATAAATAAACAAACATTTAAAAATAAAAAACTCAGGGGGGTGCCTGGGTGGCTTAGTCGGTTAAGTGTTCGACTTTCACTTAGGTCACGATCTCACGGTTCATGGGTTCGAGCCCCACGTCGGGCTCTGTGCTGACTGCCGGCCCTGTTTCAGAGTCTGTGACTCCCTCTCTCTCTGACCCTCCCCTGCTCACACTGTCTCTCTCTCTCTCTCCTAGAAATAAATAAAAAAACATTAAAAAAAAATAAAAATAAAAAACTCAGGGTGGCTGGGTGTCTCAGTCGGTTAACCGTCCAACTCTTGGTTTCAGCTCAGGTCATGATCTCTTGGTTTGTGGGTTCGAGCCCTGTGCTGGGCTCTGAACTGCAGTGCGGAGCTTGCCTGGGATTCTCTCTCTCTCTCTCTCTCTCAAAATAAATAAACTTAAAAAAAATATTAAACTCTTAAGTTAATGATATTCATACTAAACTGCTTACAAGGGGATGCACTTCCTTTTCTGGGGGCGCCAGGGTGGCTCAGTCGGTTGAACGTCCGACTTCAGCTCAGGTCATGATCTCATGGTTCATGGGTTTGAGCCCCATGTCGGGCTCTGTGCTGACAGCTAGCTCAGAGCCTGGAGCAGGTTTCGGATTCTATGTCTCCCTCTCTCTCTGACCCTCCCCTGCTCACGCTGTCTCTGTCTCTCTCTCAGAAATAAAACATTAAAAATTTAAAAAAGAAAGAAAGAAATGTACTTTCTTTTTGTTAAGAAGAAAGAGAGAACTCAAGCAGGGAAGAGGGGCAGAGGGAGGAAGGAAAGGAGTGCGGGGAGGGAGGGAGGGGGAAGGAGAAGGGGGAGAGAGAGAAAGAGAGAAAGAAGGAATATCTTAAGCAGACCCCACACTGAGTGTGGGCTCTGTCCCACGACCCTGACCCCAGGATCATGACCTGAGCCAAAATCAGGAGTTCAATGCTGGGGCGCTTGGGTGGCTCAGTGGGTTAAGCGTCCCACTTTGGCTCAGGTCATGATCTCATAGTTCATGGGTTCAAGCCCCACGTCAGGCTCTGTGCTGACAGCCAGCTCAGAGCCTGGAGCCTGCTTCAGATTTTGTGTCTCTCTCTCTCTCTTTCAGAAATAAATAAAACATTAAAAAAAAAAAAAAAAAAAGAGTTCGACGCCAAGCTGACTGAGCCAACCCAGGCACCTCTATGGGGAAATGTATTGGTGTCTGTATTGATCTAGAAATACACTGAAATCAGGATGGATTGACAGGAATGCAGAGATGGATATATATGTGATAAAGAAGTAAACTGTTAGTGGTGGAATCTAGGTGGTAGGTTTCTAGGTGTTCACTGTAAAATTATTTCAACTTTTCTGTTTGGAAATTTTCATAATAAAATGTTAGAAAAAAGCAGTGCATGGAAGAGGGCGTGGGTTCCAAGAAAAGTTCATATAATAGAGTGGTCTGAAGGGTGAGCTTGCCGTGAACTTTCTGTCCGACAAAGAACGAAGCGATGAGCTTTCTCAGACAGTAGAGGGGGGACCTGAGAGACACACAACCGCATGTGGGCGCGCAGTCTTCCCGCACAACAGGAAGCAGCTGCCAGCCGAGCAAATGCGGGAGGTCATTCACGACAGCTGGCTCCCAAACCAGGCGACGTTCACCGTGCCGGGCCTGACATCCTTGGGCTCTGCCGGTGAGCGCATCTCTGAGGGACCATGCAGACGCCCACTGCGCCCCCAGCATTTCTCAACCGCAAGGTGTATAGTCACCAAAGCCACTTCCCTCCAGGAGAGCATTGCTGCTTCCTCTGCCATCTGAGGACATGTTCATTTTACTAAATAATCAATCAGGCCTCGGAACCTCTGTCATGGAGTACCATTACCAGCCCTCAGAAGCGTGGTAGTGGCGGGGCAGGCTATGGATCGGCCATCTCTAATACTCCCTCTTGAGTGTCTGAGGATCAGGCATTATTCCCAGTCTAGTCCATTTAGATTGGAGAGGCTCTAGAAGCCCCAAGCCCTGCTTACTTAGTTCTGAGTCATCGTCTCTGACCAGGAAAGGGAGACGAGGAGGGGATAATCTCCTCTGCAACCTACCTTCACTGGGGTCTGCGGGAATCTCGCTTTCCTCTGGCCCTGCCTGCTCCTCTGCATTATGTTCTCCTTCCGGCTGAATCTGAGACAAGACGTCAGGCTGATTCATGGCATAATCTAGGAAAGGAAGAAGGGAAAGGGGGTATCACAAAGAGATCAATGAGGATGACAACTAACTGCCACTAAGGCTGAGCTGCAGGCTTGGGGATCCCCAGACCCAGGGAATTTCTTTCAGATTCTAGAGCACTCCTCCCCATCCACTCACCTCCCACGTGGGTGACAGCTCTTCGGAAAGCACACAAGAGGAGAGGCAGTGGGTGGGTGAGGCATGCGTGCTACTATACACTCTACTGTACTCTTACTGAGTCAGAGTGACAGTTGCCTCAAGGGGGAGAACAGGCCCTTTCAAAGTGAAGGATATCCATGGAGACCACTGCAACTGGGAGACCCAGAGTCCTGAGCTCCATTCTCCATCCTATGAACCGGATTATGGTTTCCTACTTAGGAAGGTGAACTGGAAATCTCTGGCTTGCAACTAGAATCTGAAGTGTGTGGGGACAGAGTGAAAATGAGGACCACTGGAGGGAAAGGGACTGTTCTAAGCCCCTGTGGAGCAGGGGGGGGGGTCCCCTCATTCAAAAGGTGCCAACTTAGCCTCACCCATGGAGATGAGAGACTCGTAGTTGCCCTTCATGATATTCTTGTAAAGTTCTTTTTGCCATTCTTCTAATTTTTCCCACTCTGGAGTAGAAAAGTAGATGGAGATATCATCAAATGTCACAGGCACCTGAAATTATAATCATAGTGGAGTTAGTCCCTCCCATTGCAATTCAGTCATTCTTCATAAGTGCCTGCTTGTCACAAAAAGACTGTGTGAAATGCTGGAGGGATACAGGAAAAACTGAAGGCACAGATCCAACCTCCAAGAGTTGAAGATGTTTTCAAGGAGAAAGGTAATAAACCTTAGAGCTACGACATTTGGGAGGGTGGGGGACATGGCTTGTAAACAGTCCCTCTCCGAGAGGGGTACAGATGCAATACAGTATATATTCACACAATACAACATGTTCTGAATATCCACTAAGTACAAGTATTATCCTAAGTGCCAAGATTACAAAAATATATTTCCGCCCAAAATAAGCATATGGTCATATTCAAATGGAAGACATGGACCAGAAATTTTGGCTATCAAGCTATTACAGGGCTGGGATGGGTCTCAAAGAGGTGGGGCTCTGGGAACAGGAAAAACATGTAAGCATGGAAGACTGGAGATGACCTTCAGAGGACAATTATGAAGCCTGGCTAGTTGGAGTTCAGGCTTTAGGTAGGGAATGGGCATACATGGATCAGAGCCCCCCTATCCTCCGGCATAGTTTTGTCCAAAGCTAGGCACTCTTCCCTAGGTAAAAACTGGAAGGTTCTTTTGTAAAGATGTAGAAGAGCTGCCTGGGGAATATAAGGTACCTAGTATGGACGTTATCACTACTACAAAACTCTCCTCATTCTGGCATTTAGCTGCTCATCCTAAGACTAGCTCACCCTCCTGTCACCAGATGGGCACGCACTGGGGTCCAGGCTTTCTGTAGATAAATTCTGAAATACAAGCTAAGCAATGGGTATCAATGACCATTTAGCAAAAGCCTGCCACATGAACAAGAGAGACTGAAATGAGGGAGGAAAGTGTAGAAAGAAACAGAAATACCTAGACAACAGAATTTAGAAAACAAAAACACACCATCACCATCTCCTCTCTAATCAGTATTCCCACAAAGATCTGAGAGATATTACACTGCCCAAAGAATAAACACAAGATGCTATGGAAAAAGGGAAATCAGAGAAGAAACATTCCTGGTATCTACTATCCACATTTCTTCTCTAAATTAAAAAACTCAATGAAAAGAATACATACTTATCTTCATGAACTTCACATACTCTTTAAGAGTCAAAGGTCTATACAATACTATGAGGCAAATGGGTCTATTTTCTAATTGCTTCCTTTCCCCTCCAACTAGAAATTTTGTTCTTTAGGGGCTAAAATGTTATATTAATCATTTTACACTTTGCTCAGCATCTAAAGTGAGAGTGAGGGCAAGTGTTGATAACAGAATTTTATCTAATGTCATTACACAGAAGATTCGTGATACCTTACAACAGAAACACATGATAAAATAATGACAAAAATAAACTATCAGGATGGGGGCTTCTTGTTTAAGGCTATGAACTAAGCATCTATGTATTTTTCTTTCCTCCCTAAGTTCTACTGAAATGACAGTAAGATCAGCAGCGACTAAATTTTTTTCTTAATGTTTATTTTTGAGGTTGGGAGGGGTATAGAGAGAGGGAGACAGAGAATCCCAAGCAGGCTCCTCACTGTCAGTGCAGAGCCCGACACAGGGCTTGATCTCATGAACCTGAGCTGCAAGTCAGATGCTTAACTGAGCCATCCAGATGCCCCATAATGCTAAAGCAGCACCAAGAACAAGGAGAAGCCAGCACTAGACCAGAGTTTTTGATGAGTTTCTCACTAAGACCCAGAGGATGGGCATGCGCTGGGGTCCAGAGTAAGTGAGGAAGCTGCAGCTCTGTGACAACGCAAAGGACAGACTGCAGTTGAAGAATCCTGAAAATCTCAAGCTCAAAGCTGGCAGAGACAATGAGAAGGAATAAAAGTGATTATGGACTGCAGTTTGAAGGTCTATCTTCGGAACTGCAGGGAACTGCCTGGAGACAGCCTGCCTGGAGACAGGATGGACTTCCAGGGCGGGTGTGATGACACAGAGCACCACCTTCCTCCGGGTCTCTGGGCGGTCCCTGCACTCCCTATTTGCTCCCTGCACAGCACTTCAAAGCAAAGCCCAACTATGTCTAACGTCAATGGAGGCAGCTCTCTGCTGTAAAGGAAAGATCTTTTGGATAAACAGACTCACATGGTGGCCAAGAAGACATGCCAGCTTCCTGGCATTAACCTATTAATCAGTCGAGCCTGTCACTTATGAATACACAACCCAGGATTACTCAATATTTAAAAAAAAATGACGGCACGAGGATGAACAAACACTACAAACGGTCCTAGAAGAAAAAACAATGAACAAATGTTCCCAGAGACATTTGGAAATTGCACCCATTTAAATAAATTCAGGCTGCTTCAAAAAAAAGGAGATAGAAAATGTGTATAAAATAAAAATGAGAAAGGCTGGAAAGGAAGGTGATGGAACTCTAAAAAGGTGAATAAGGGGTTCCTGGGTGGCTCAGTCAGTTAAGTGTCCGAATCTTGATTTCAGCTCAGGTCATGATCTCGTGGATTGGGGGTTTGAGCCCCACATCAGGTTCTGCACTTACAGTGCAGAGCCTGCTTGTAATTCTCTCTCCCTCTCTCTTTGTCCCTCCCCCTACTCACACATGCACGCACATACACACTCTCTCTCTAAATAAATAAGTAAACTTCAAAAAAAATTTAAGGGGCACCTGGGTGGCTCAGTCGGTTGGGCAGCTGGCTTCGGCCCAGGTCATGATCTCATAGTTCATGAGTTCAAGCCCCGAATCAGGCTCTGTGCTGATAGCTCAGAGCCTGGAGCCTGCTTCCAATTCTGTGTCTCCCTCTCTCCGCTCCACCTCTGCTTGTACTCTGTCTCTCAGAAATGAATAAACATTGAAAAAAAAATTTTTTTTTAATTTTTAAAGGTGAAGAGGGGTGTCTGAGTGGCTCAGTCAGTTAAGCGTTCGACTTTGGCTCGGTTCATGATCTCACAGTTCAGATTCTGTGTCTTCCTTTCTCTCAAAGATAAACATAAAAAATTCTTTAAAAATTTTTTTTTGACATTTATTTCATTTTTGCTAAACAGAGAGAGACAGATTGCGAGAGGGGGAGGGCAGAGAGAGAGGGAGACAGAGAATCCAAAGCAGGCTCCTGGCTCCAAGCCCTCAGCACAGAGCCTGATGCAGAGCTCAAACCCACGAACCGTGAGATCATGATCTGAGCCAAAGTCAGATGCTTAACGACTGAGCCACCCAGGCACCCTGAGAACAGATGTCTTATAAATGGATTTGGTGTTCATTTGGAATTAATGCTGATATATTAATTTGGAATTGATTTGGTATTAAGGTTTTCATCAATGGCATTTGATGTTATGAGACAAAGGACCAATTTGCCTTTAAAATACTGAGAGAAATGGAGTATTATTCAGCCTTGAAAAGGAAATGCTGATCCGCTACAACATGGATGAACCTGGAAGACTTTGTGCTGAGTGAAATAAGCCAGTTGCAAAAGGACAAATAGCATATGGTCTCATTTATATGAGGGACCCAAAAGAGTCAAATTCACAGAGATAGAAAGCAGGACGGTGGGCGCCAGGGGCTGGGAGAGAAGGGCTGAGGGGTCAGGGTTTATTGGGGACAGAGTTTCATTTTGGGAAGTTTTGGAGATGCATGGCAGTGATAGTTGCACAATGTACTAACCACTAAACTGCGTTTCAACATGGCAAAAACGGTACATTTATGTTGTACACATTTTACCACAATTTAATATTGAAAGTAAGAAGAAAACTGAGGGAAAATTATTCTGAACTTGGCACTCAGAAGTAAGGACAGGGGCACCTGGGGGGCTCAGTCGGTTAAGCATCTTAACTTTCACTCAGGTCGTGATCTCCTGGTTCATGAGTTTGAGCCCCGAGTCATGCTCTGTGCTGACAGTGAGGAGTCTGCTTTGGGTTCTCTCTCCTTCTGCCCTTCCCTAGCTCGGTCTCTCAGTCTCGAAAAGAAATAAACAAACATAAAAAAAAGAATAATAAGGACAGAATAAGATTTTTTTCAACAAACCAAAGACACAAATTTTACTTCCCATATTTAAAGCTAATAAATCTTCAATATGTTATTTCATGAAGAAATCTTTTTAAAAAATTTTTTTGTGTTTTTTATTTTTGAGACACAGAGAGACAGAGCACGTGTGGGGGAGGGAGAAGAGAGAGGGAGACACAGAATCTGAAACAGGCTCCAGGCTCTGAGCTGTCAGCACAGAGCCTGACGCAGGGCTTGAAACCATGAACCATGAGATCATGACCTGAGCCGTAGCTGGACGCTTAACCGACTGAGCCACCCAGGTGCCCCAACTTCATGAAGAAGTCTTAAAGAAAATCAGATTGTCTTACATATGATTTTGGAGTTGAAGATGGAGAGTTATCCAGGTAAGACGACGGATACACACTGGAACTTCCCTTAGCTACAAATCTGATGGCAGCACTAATACAGATTTCCCCGCAGAATCCTGGAGAGGCTCCAGACACACGAGTACCCCTCACCGGGGAAGGCTCTCTATCAGATGCTAACTCTGACCTTCCTCCCCGAAAACCTGGAAAGAGGCATCATCCTCTCCCTTTTCTCTCTTCCCACTCACTCTTCAACCTGCCCCTTTCTAGACTTCTATGCCCTGCATCTTGGCAAGGTCCCCGGCAAGGTCTGTGTTGCCAAATCGTACTCTGTCCGCATCTTTCTAGACCTCTCAGTAACATGCAACCCAAATGACAGCGTTCTCCCTGAATGCTTTTTCTCCTTGTCCGGTGATGCCACGTACGTTCCATCTCGTTCCACCTCGGTGGCCATGCCTCTCAGTCCCCTTTGCCGAGCATGGTGTTCGGGCTCTTTCTCCTGAGGCAATCACCTCCTGTCTCAGGACTTTCAACAGGGTCTGGGCACCAATGGCTGCCAAATATTTCTCTTCTTTGAGCCGCGGGGACCACTTAACATCTCTCCTGACTGCATCACAGGCATCTCAAACCTAATACTGCCAAAAGAGAGCCTCTGATTCCTTCCCACTCCTCAAGACAGACCCCAACTCAGCAAATGTCACCACCATCCGTCTGGTTCTTCGAGCCAAAAGCCTTGGGATCAGTAAACGTAAGGTGGTTAAGAGCATCCACTCTCGAGCTAGCTGGGTCACTATACTACTCTATTATTTATTTTCAGTAATGAAAAGGTCTCGGGCAAGTGAGGGTTCCTATTAAAATGACCAAGGCACTTTGAACAAGCCCTACGTAAATTATCGCACAGTAAATTTAAACTTATCGTTGTCCTTCGTTCTTCATTACCATTAACTTCCAGCCGGGACCCCTCCCCAGCATCTTCACCAAAGTCCTGAATCTGCCCACTGCCTGACTCCACCACGGCTACCTTCACCCAAGCCACTCACAGCCCTCCCACTACTGCAGCTGCCTCTTGTTTTCTCCCTGCTTCTGTTCTTACCTCCTTGATCCAGCTCCTACAGAGCAGCCAAGGTGACCGGTTCAAAATAATCCCTCAATTTCTTTCCATTATGCCCAAGATAAAACCTATTCCTTACCTTGGTGTCGAGCCCCCTACTTCAGTGATTCACAACCCCAGCTGCACAATAGACTCCACTATGGAGTTCCAAGAATTATTCATGTTTTGGCCCCATCCGGGACCCACTGAGTCAGAATCTGTAGGTGTGCTGCCCACCGAAATGGAAAACGCCCTCAGGTGATCGCTATGTACAGTCAGGGCTGAGAAACACTGCCCTAAATGACGCAACCCCCCTCTATTTCTCTAGGCACAGGCCTATGTCTCCACTGCATACCAGCTAGTGGGCCTTTCCCCTCGCCCTCAGTGGTCCGGGTCTGTCTGTCTTCAGGACTTTGCAGCGGGCATTCTCTCCGCCTAGAAAGTTCTTCCTCAGATCTTCTCACAGCTGGGTCCTTCCTATCATTCAGTCTCAGCCTAAATATTAGCACCTTTATGAGAGCTTATCTGAAAACCCACCAAAAAATAAATCACCTAATAGCACTTTTATTTTTTTACCTACTTGCACCTAAATGGATTTTTTTTCTTTTTTTTTTTTTAATGTTTTATTTCTAGGAGAGAGAGAGAGAGAGACAGCGTGAGCAGGGGAGGGTCAGAGAGAGAGTGTGATACATATTCTGAAACAGGCTCCAGGCTCTGAGCTGGCAGTCAGCACAGAGCCCGACGCGGGGCTTGAACCCACGAACCGCGAGATCATGACCTGAGCGAAAGTCGGTCGCTTAACTGACTAAGCCACCCAGGCGCCCCTAAATGGATTTATTTTCTTGTCTGTTTATATCTTTTTTCTTTCTCCACTAAAATTTAAGCTCCAGGAAGCTTACAGAATTGTTCAGTACTATGCCTCCAGGATATAGATACTCAGTACCCAGTATGTGCTCAGGAAATCCAGATGCCTGAGGCTGTGTCCCATAGCTTAAGAATGATGTTTATTTTCCTTTGGTCTATGGGCGATTCCCTCCAGAAGGGCCCCTGGGCCCTAATACCACAGCATACTTCCAGAAAGGGTGCTGAAGGGCGGATCACACCAATCCAATCCTAGACCTACAGAGAGTCCAAACCCTTATATTAACCATTTCCTCTCCAGCTCTTCCCCCATACCACTCTTTTCACCAGAATTACCAACAAATGCAAACAGGCTGATTGAAATGATATTGACTTTGGCTTCCACACCAAGAATGAAGCAGACAGGTTAACGAAGACAAAAGGGACTCAAAAAAAGGACAGGAGGAAGCTAAAGAGAGGAAAAAAAGTCTATCTGCCAGGTAGCCAACTCTGAATTGGAAAGTTTTCTACTCTTAGGTCTGACACTTAAATTATCGCTAAATTGAACATGAAATGTTCCCCCAAACAGATGAACAAAAACCAACGTCACTGTTCCTTTAGCCTGACTGGCCGACAGGATGCCTTACTGCCGGTCTAAAGACTAGTGGGACCACTTTCCACCCAGACGCGGCGAGGGGATTACCTTTGGGATATCCCCTTTAATCCCCGGCGGCAGGCGCAGGATCCAGAAGTTTCTGTTTCTCAGCAGGTTCTCCAAGTTCTCCAGCCGCCTCTGCAACAGCCCGTACTCCTGCAGCAGCGTCCCCAGCACGGCCCACTTGCCATCCAGCTGGTTCCCCAGCTCCGCCACGGTCTTCTCGCAGCTGGCCAGCTTCTTCTCGGCCGTCCCCGTCCGCCCCTCCAGGGTCAGGAGGCGGCGGCTGTGGACGTCCACCTTCCTCTCGATGGCCTGCACGGCGGCCACCACGGTCCACAGGGAGATGGCTGCGGTCTGCAGGGGTGCTTCGTTTGCTGCCGGGGGCGTGGGAAGAGGGAGGGGCTGCAGGGAGGTAAGGCATTCAGAGTCCCATTCAGCAGTCTGCGTGCAGTGGAGAGAGGAGACAAGACACTGAGTGTGGAAAGGAAACCCTAAGCCAAGCTAAAATCAGAGAAGCACTGGTTAGCTGGTTAACCAGCTGTGATTCATCTAAACAGAGTTTTAGTACTGCCTGCAAAAGCTCGTCCGCATCAAAAGTCAAGAGGCCTCCTATTGGTGGTTCAGGGATGAAATAAGTAAGACAGTGTGTGAAAAGTGGATTCAGAGCTAGCCTGGCCTAGCCCTGGAGATGCTATGCTCTCAAGCCAGTTGTCCTGAGGCTCGGGTTGCATCCTTTATTTCTGGAAAAGGCCTACGTGCACCAGATCTTTCTAGGTTTCTCTGGACTCACTGCCCTCTGGTAAATCCTTTATTGATTTATGCTCTGGCCCCACCCACCACCCTGCTTACAAGCCACACCATACCATTCAGTAATACTTTAAAAAGCTGAGAATACTGAGTATGGAGAAAACATATTTTCAAATATTTGATGGTTATAAAACAGAAAGCAGAACAGACATTTTTTATTAAAAATTTTTTTAAAAAACTTTTTAAATGTGGGGCGCCTGGGTGGCTTCGTCGGTTAAGAGTCCGACTTTCGCTTAGGTCATGATCTCGCGGTTCGTGGGTTCGAGCCCCGCATCGGGCTCTGTGCTGACTGCCAGCTCAGAGCCTGGAGCCTGTTTCAGAGTCTGTATCTCCCTCTCTCTCTGACCCTCCCCTGCTCATGCTGTCTCTCTCTCTCCTAGAAATAAATTTAAAAAAAAATTAAAAAAAAAAACTTTTTAAATGTTTATTCATTTTTGAGAGATAGACAGAGTGTGAGAGGGGGAGGGGCAGAGAGAGAGGGAGACACAGAATCTGCAGCAGGCTCCAGGCTCTGAGCTGTCAGCACAGAGCCTGATGCAGGGCTCAAACTCATGAACTGTGAGATCATGACCTGAGCTGAAGTTGGACACTTAAATGACTGAGCCACCCAGGCACCCCCCCAGAACATTATAATTTTTTATTTAACGTTTAATATTTTAGATATTATATTGCATTTATTCCAGGGGGCAGAACTAGAACCAACATGGAATTTTTAGGCAGGTAAACTCTGTTCTACATAAATAATTTTTGAAACTAGATTTTTCCAAGAAAATACCAGGCTGCCCCATCACTGAAAATGCTGTGTAACAAAATGTATATTTAGGGGCGCCTGAGTGGCTCAGTCGGTTAAGCGTCCGACTTTGGCTCAGGTCATGATCTCACGGTTCGTGGGTTCGAGCCCCGCGTCAGGCTCTGTGCTGAATGCTTGCTCAGGGCCTGGAGCCTGTTTCAGATTCTGTGTCTCTTTCTCTCTCTGCCCCTCCCCCACTCATACTCTGTCTTACTCTGTCTCTCAAAAATAAATAAAATGTAAAAAAAAAAAATGTATATTTAAAAAAAGAAATTCCAGGGAACCTGGTGGGTCAGTCTGTTGAGTGTCCAGCTCTTACTTTTGGCTCAGGTCATGATCCCAGGGTCATGAGACAGAGCCCCGTGCTGAGTGTGGAGCCTGCTTAAGACTTTCTCTCTCATCATCCGACTTCTCAGGTCATGATCTTGCAGTTCTTGGGTTCGAGCCCCACATCGGGCTCACTGCTGTCAACGCAGAGCCAGCTTGGGATCCTCTGTCCCCCACTCTCTGCCCCTCCCCTGCATGCACTCTCTCAAAAATAAATAAACATTAAAAAAATACTTTCTCTCTCTCTCTCCCTCCTTCTGCCCCTCTCCCCAGCTCATGGCCTCTCCAAAATTAAAGGAAGGAAGAAGGGAATCCTCAAACTTACAACACAGGGGAGGCTGGACCAAAATGACCTCTACAAAGCCTTGCAACTATGAATTTGATAACCCACTCCCTGGCCACAACCTTCCATCTCTGCAGCTCACCCACACCTGCTCTGCAATCCCACTACACCCCTGCCCATGCCGTTTGCTCCGGGCTCACCAGCCTGTTCCAGGCTTGCTTTCCTTCCTCGGGGATCATTTCAACCACCTCCAACCCCTGTCTGTCTTTCTGCCTCACCTGCTCCAGCTCTGAATCAGTCTCATCTTTACTTCTCTGTTCCTCTGAGCAAGCTGGTCAACCGTACTAAAGGAAGTCACATGACAGAGAACACGCGTGTCACCACACACCAGTGGTCTCTAAGCTCAGCAGGAACTCAACACCGCCTGGTGCCCCCCAGGCATCTCTTCCCATTCCATACAGGGGCGAGTGCAACCCCCCTGCCCCGCCAAACACCCCTTAAACTACTAATACAGCGCCTCTCAAACTAACAAGCACAAGAATCATATGCAGATCTTGTTAAAATGCAGACTTTGATGGTTGAGTGTCCGACTCTCGATTTCAGCTCAGGTCATGCTCTCACAGGTAATGAGATCGGGCCCCACATCTGGCTCAGCGCGGACAGTGCAGAGCCTGCTTGGGATTCTCTCTCCTTCCCTCTGCCCCTCCCCCTCTCGTGCTTGCTCGTTCTCCCTCTAAAATAAATAACCTTAAAAAATGCAGACTTTGATTCAGTAGGTCCGGGAGGAAAGCAGAGATTCTGCATTTTCAACAAGCTTCCAGGTGATGTTGATGCTGGTGGTGTGGAGAGCACACATGGAGCAGTGACATTTGTCCCCTGCAGGCCCCCTCAATCTCAGGGGACAACACGGCCTCTGACTTTGAGAAGAAAATTGGAGTAATTAGGCTGAAACTCTCTCAACTTTCTCCTTTTCCCCCATACCCTTCTCACTTCAAACCTGTCAGTAACTTAGTCCACGCTTTCTTCCTTCCTTCCCACAGGAAAAGGTTGCATCCTATTTAAAACTAATCTCTCCGCTTATGCTCTGAATGCCAACTCTTTCCACCCTTTCAGGGACATTGTTCTTTTCCCTTTTTTATGGTCAGTAGCTCAATCTCTCCTAATTCTTCTCCAGTAAGTCAGACCCCACCATTCAATATGGTAACCACGTGTGGCCATTAGCACTTGAAATGTGGTTATTGTGATTGGGATGTGCTGGAAGTATAAAGTACACACCAGATTTTGCAGACTTAGTATGGGGGGGGGGATACATAATATTGGGGGCACCTGGGTGGCTCAGTCAGTTGAGCATCTGATTCTTGATTTTGGGTCAGGTCATGATCTCACGGTCCTGAGATTCCGTTCCGCACTGAGCAGGGAGCTTGTTTGGGATTCTCCCTCTGCCCCTCTCTCCCAACTAGTGTGTGCTCTGAAATTCTTTTTTTTTTTTAAGTTTATTTATTTGAGAGAGACAGAGACAACGCATGTGGCGGAGGGGCAGAGAGAGAGAAGGACAGAGAAAATCCTTAGCAGGCTCTGCTTGAGAGCCAGATTGGGAGGGCTCAAACTCACAAAACCTTGAGATCCTGACTTGGGCCAAAACCAACAGTCAGACACTTAATCTACTGAGCCACCCAGGCGTCCCCTGCCCCCCACAAAAAAATTCTCAATGTTGGTTACACACCGAAATATTTCCTCCGCATTGGATTAAATAAAATACAATCAAATTAAAATTAATTTCACCTTTTTTTTTTTAACTTTTTAAATGCCACTACCAGAAAACTTAAAGTTACAGATGCAGTTTCCACTATATTTCTATAGATAGGGTTGGCATAGAGAATTGCTCATCTCTACCATGGTTAAAAAAAAAAAAAAAATTGGAAAAAGGAAAACAGACCCAAGAGCAGAGACTGCGTTCCTCTCTACCCTACTTGCCACCCCACTGCTACTGCTCCCTCTTTTCCTCCTCACTTTCCAGGGACTCGATGGCCCATTCGGGCTCCTGACCCTTTAAAACGGCTCTCCGTGGGGCGACCAAAGGCTTCTTAGCGGACAAAATCCAAGGCATCCGTTTGGGTCCTATGCTACTGGGCCGGTCCCTGCTCGTTCTACGTGGCTGTCGTGCGCAGGGACTCTGTTGGTCATCTGTGCGGCCCTAGCAACCGGGAGAAGGGCCTGGCCGGCCGCGGGCCTGCGGGAAACAGCCGCCGAGTGAATAAACACACGTAAGGGCTTCTCGTCCTCGGAAGCCGCACCAGCACAGACGGAGGGCCTCGGGTGGCGCGCATTGTCATCTGCCGGGCGCTGGGGCCCCGGGTGCTCGCGCAGTCCTTCGTCCCGCCCGGGGCGCTACGGTCCCCGCCGCAGCCGCGGCTGTGCGGGGCTCAGGTGGGCCGCCCGCACGGCGCTTCCGGGCGGGCGGCTGCCAGGGCCGGAGAATGGCTGATTCTCCCGGCTCACCGCCGCGCGTCCGGCGGCCGCGGGGTGCTGACACCAGGCGGGAGGCGCCCCTCTTCACTCATTCCTTTTCCACTAGCGGAAGACGCGCTCTAAACGTCCAAATGCGAAGGAGGAGCCCGGGGCCTCGCACCGGAGGCGACGGAGGAGGGGGCGCGAACCACCCCCCCGGACCCGAACTCCGCGTCGGAGTCCCCGCTCGGCGCCTCAGGCCCTTCCCGGCCGGCGCGACCCCGGGAGCGCCCTTGCGCGGGGGCCCCGCGCCTGACAGGCCGGGCTTCCCGTCCTCCTCCCCTCCCTCGGGGCCGCGGCGCGGAGCCCCAGGCGCCCAGACCGTCCCGGGCTCGCGGCGCTCGGCGCGCGGGCCGCTCTTACCGGAGCCGGGGCCGCCTCGGCCATGGCCCTGCGCTGTCCGGCCCGGGCCGGAGTCGGAGTCGCTGCCGCCGCTGCCGCCGCTGCCGCCGCCGCCGCCGCGCGGCCCCACGCAGGCCGGCTCCGGGTGTCTGCGCAGGCGGCGCCCGCCCGGCTCTGCCTTCCCTGCCCGGACTCGCGCGGCTGTTCGGGATGCGGGGACGCGGCGGAGGCACGGCGGCCGGCCGGTGAAGCTAGGAGGCGGGCAGGCTCAGCGGCGCTCGGCCCGCAGCAGCCCCTCAGCTGGCGCTTTGTGGCCACCGAGCGCACCCTGGAAACGGCTCCGGCCTAGACGCGCCGCCCGCCCGCTTCCGCAGCGCGCCCCCTGCCGGCCCCGGCGGCCACTTCCGCCCCGGCGGCGGCGGCGCCCGAGGCGTCTGTTTTCTCGCTGCCCCGCGGAGGCTTTCTCAGGAGCTCAGGATCCAGCTCCAAACCAGGGCTCTTTTCGGGGAGCGCCTTTCTTCCTGGGGGCCGGGTTAGCGGGGACCGCACGGTGGGACGCGCACCGGCGGCAGGACAGCCCAATTTGGAAAGGTGGCGGTGGGCTGAGTGCGAGAGCCAGGCCGGCCGGAGCGAGCCGCTGCGTTACAATGAGTGACCGAGAGGCACAAATCTGCGATGAAGAGACGTCCGTCGTTTGCAGAAACAGCAAATGTGGCTGACAAGGGGGAGCGGCTCACGTCTCCTGTGGCCCGTGTTAGGACCGAAACTGAAGCCTGCAGTCTCGGATTATTGAGGTTGTGGTTTGCTGCGTTCAGGACGGGAGAGAGCGAGTGTTACCTATGGAGGCCGTGTGTGTTAGGACAACCACATAAGCCTGAGTTTCTAGCACAGCCTTCGTTTCAAACATGCTCACCATGGATGAAAACCCTCCCAAACCTGTATTTCAACAGGAATCAGGTCAATGCCCGCAACGGCCAAAGTAACAATAAATCCCAGAAGTACGAGAACTATCCTGTCGGGGCACCTGCTCTACGGTATACAAACTACTTTTAGACTAGCTATACCTGAAAATATATTTCGGTCAAGTGGTGAATGTTTGTAAAAAAAATTGCTACTCTCTAAACGAGAATGTCACCGTAACAGAGTTTTTAAAAAAAAAAGAAAAAATCACGAATTTTCTTGGGAACTCATTTTTTACGATTTTATTATTAAAAACGTAGCGGTTTAAATTTTAAAGTTTGGCCGGATAAGGTAAAAACAGTAACTTCTCAGCCCTGGCGACTCCTGGATGCTCCTAAGGCCAAAAAACAGGTTCATTTGCATCACTAAATAAGCTACATTCAACTGAGCTTCAAGTAATAGCAAGGCGACATCTGCCAGTATAATATGGTAATACTGCCACCAGTTTATTGTGTTTCTTCAGCTAATAGGAACTGATGATGGTAAAAATTTCGTTCCTTTATAATTGTTGGCCTTGATAATTTCTTCGGCAATGATCGGGTTCCATTGAAGCAATGTCACCGACTGAAGTTTTGTGCATTTTCAAGACACATGATACTTTCAGAACCAGGTTTTAAGACGGTTACACTCATTTATTTAGGTTCTAATTTGTAATATTTTTGTCTGTTCTTGCCACTATACACAATCACTGGAAATAAATGTGTCCTTAAAGTTTGAATCTAGAAATGTGACAATGGAGCAATTTAATTACCTTTCAAGTTAAGAAAATAATCCAAGTTCCATCTGTAGCTTACCTTGTATGCACCAATTTCAGGATCTTCCCTGGAGTAGAATCAGAGGAAGAACTTTTCAGCAGGGATCATGCAGGAAATACTTACACTCTTAAGGCACATCAATTTATACATCAAGTTCCAATAAGCAAACTGCTTTTTGTGTAATCAACCATTGGTTATTAGTAAGTCTTGCTACATTGGTAATGTTCCTTGGGAAATACAGAATTAAGGCGTTATTTGTTACCCTTTCAAAGACGTAATAACTGTTATTTCACCTTGTTTAAGTATCTTGTATATGTATATGACAATTTCACAATCTCTTGTATATCATATAATTTGTTATTCACTGAAGAAAAATTACAGAAGTGTCTACAACCTTTCTGCTTGCAGCCAGTCATTTTTTGTTACATCTTTTTAAGCTATGACCATTTTCTGAATATAAAACTGTAGGGTGTGAACAAATTACAATATGTTTGTGTTCATAGCCTTTTACCATATGCGTTCTGTAGTCAATGATAATTTCATGCATTGGTCTATATGACTTTATATTCCATAAATATTTCTCAAAGTCAGATTCACTGTGTGAGACACAAGAATCCTTCACCAAGGAATATGTCAAACCATATATTTTGGGAGTGTATTTAACATTTTCATTAACCTGTTTGTATATAACAAAATATAAACCCAGGAACGGTTTTAAGGAATGTTTTCTAAGATAAATTAATATTTAGAATCCATAGCTTCAGCAAATCTCAAAAATTCTTTCTCTTCAACTGCTGAAATGGTTATTAACATATTGCAATTATTTCTACAAGCTTTAAAAAGCGTTAGCCTTCACAGATCCCAAACCATGAGATATTGTCTTATGAAAACCATTCTTGGGGCGCCTGGGTGGCTCAGTCGGTTAAGCATCCAACTTCGGCTCAGGTCATGATCTCATGGTTTGTGGGTTCGAGCCCCTTGTCGGGCTCTGTGCTGCCAGCCCAGAGCCTGGAGCCTGCTTCAGATTCTGTGTCTTCCTCTCTCTCTCTGACCCTCCCCTGCTCACGCTGTCTCTCTCTCTCTCAGAAATAAATAAAACATAAAAAAAAATTAAAAAAAAATAAACCATTCTTGAATAGTTGGTTATTTAGAGAGAACAAATGTATTCTGGGTGTCTCATTTTATCTAAACATTCTCCTTTTTTTTAATTCTGTCTCAATTTTTTATTTTTCTTAATTATTTTTAAAAAATTTATTTCTAAGGGGCACCTGGAGGGCTTAGTCGGTTAAGCGTCCGACTTTCGCTTGGGTCGTGATCTCGCGGTTCGTGGGTTCGAGCCCCGTGTCGGGCTCTGTGCTGACTGCCAGCTCAGAGCCTGGAGCCTGTTTAAGTCTGTGACTCCCTCTCTCTCTGACCCTCCCCTGCTCACGCTGTCTCTCTCTCTCTCTCCTAGAAATAAATAAAACATTAAAAAAAATTTATTTCTGAGACAGACAGCATTAGCAGGGGAGGGTCAGAGACAGAGGCAGACACAGAATCTGAAACAGGCTCCAGGCTCTGAGCTGGCTGTCAGCACAGAGCCCAACATGGGGCTCGAACCCACGAACCACGAGATCGTGACCTGAGCAAAGTCGGATGCTTAACCAACTGAGCCACCCAGATGCCCCTCTGTCTTTATGTTTTAAATCATGACACAAAGATGATTTATCAGGGGCACCTGGATGGCTCAGTTGGTTAAACATCAAACTCTTGATTTCAACTCGAGTTCATGATCTCGTGGTTCTTGAGAACCATGTTGGACTATGGCCTGTCAGTGTGGAGCCTGCTTAGGACTTTCTCTTCACCTCTTCTCTCTCTGCTCTTCCTGAGCGACTCTGTCTTTCAAAATAGATAAACTTAAAGAAGAAAAAAAAGATGATTTATCCTATATGTGTTGTACATGAGTTTTTGGCTTTGGAAAATTTTGAGGTAGCCATGCTGACATTCTGTTTTTATTTTTTTTATGTGTATTTATTTATTTTTTAAAAATTTTAAAAATATTTTATTTATTTCTGAGACAGAGAGACAGCGTGCGCAGGGGAGGGACAGAGAGAGAGGGAGACACAGAATCTGAAACAAGCTCCGGGCTCTGATTTGTCAGCACAGAGCCCGACGCGGGGCTCAAACCCACAAACTGTGAGATCATGACCTGAGCCGAAGTTGGATGCCCAACTGACTGAGCCATCCAGGTGCCCCTATTTATTTATTTTTGAGAGTGTGAGAGAGAGGGCACAAGCTGGAGGGGATCAAAGAAAGAGAGGGAGAGAGAATCCCAAGCAGACTCTGCACCAATAGCGCAGAGCCCACCACGGGGCTCCATCCCACGAACAGTGAGATCATGACCTGAGCCAAAATCAAGAGTCAGATGCTTAACAACTGAGCCACCCAGGTGCAGCCCCCACCAACATTTTGTTCTTAATTTACCCTCCTAATATGTGAAAAAATTACCAAAGAGGGCTTTTTGAGATTCACAGACTAAATGGAATTATGTAATTAAAAATTTTTTTTATAGTTTATTTATTTTTGAGACAGAGAGAGACAGAGCATGAGTGGGGGAGGGGCAGAGAGAGAGGAAGACACAGAATCTGAAACAGGCTCCAGGCTCTGAGCTGTCAGCACAGAGCCTGATGCGGGGCTCGAACCGATGATCCATGAGATCTGACCTGAGCCAAAGTTGGACGCCTAACCAACTGAGCCACCCAGGTGCCCCGGAATTATGTAATTAAACATTAGTTTCTACGTGTATTTTATAAAGTATTTTTATTTTATTATTTCTTTTTACATAAACTGTATGCCCAACATAGGGCTTGAACTCACGACCCAGAGGTCAAGAGTTGTATGCTCTACCTACCGAGCCAGCCAGGAGCCCTGCTACAGCTTTCATTTAGTGTAATGAAAGCAACTGCACAAAAGAATTCTACAGTAATTAGAAATATGATATAATCTAATCTTTATTATTTTGCCCTGTGTTCATATTTATATTTTAATAAACATCATAAAGAATATAATGTTCTTGGGGCACCTGGGTGGCTTAGTCAGTTAAGCGTCCGACTTTCGCTCGGGTCATGATCTCGCGGTTCGTGGGTTCGAGCCCCTCGTCGGGCTCTGTGCTGACTGCCAGCTCAGAGCCTGGAGCCTGTTTCAGAGTCTGTCACTCCCTCTCTCTCTGACCCTCCCCTGTTCACACTGTCTCTCTCACTCTCCTAGAAATAAATAAAACATTAAAAATAAAAATAAAAAAAAAAAAGAATATAATGTTCTTTCTAAACTCATCTGGGCGGGGGCACCTGGGTGGCTTAGTCGGTTAAGTGTCCAACTCTGCCTCAGGTCATGATCTCACGGTTCGTGGGCTCGAGCCTCTCATTGGACTCTGTACTGACAGTGCAAAGCCTTCTTGGGATTCTCTACCTCTCTGTCCTTTCCCTTCCCCTAAAATAAATAAACATTGGGGAGCCCGGGTGGCTCAGTCCGTTGAGTGTCTGCCTTCTTCCGCTCAGGTCATGATCTCACAGCTTGTGGGTTCGAGTCCTGCATATGGCTCTGCGCTGACAGCTCAGACCCTGGAGCCTGCTTCAGATTCTGTGTCTCCCTCTCTC